TTAGGAAATGCTATTTTTTTGTGATAGGAAATGAATGAGATGAAATGAGGTAACCCCACATGCCATGCACAATGGAGGGTAAACAAGAAAGGATGATTCAGTGATGATACTACACAGTAGACATTTCAAGATACTGTACTAATGAAATTTGAGCTTAAATTCATTTTTTTAAAAATCTCAATTTCCTAGGTAAAAACAAAACAAAACAAAACACCTAGGACAGTTCTACCAGTGAGACTGCTCACTTCGTGCTTTGAAGGATATTCTGAAGTCTAGAAAAATAAATACATATGTTAATTGTGAGCAATCAGTTAATTTTCTCACCTGCAGAATCAGGTTTCTTAAGCCTAAACATTTGACATTTCTTTGGATAAGTGTAAGGAAGGGTTTGGAGATCTTTGATGTTCTTAAAGAAGCCTGGGAGGTAGGGCTCTTGGAAGTATTAGTATAACTGCTTCTTAAGACAGAGCATTATACCAAGAGCTCTGGCTAATACCTAGAATGGGAAAAAGTAAGAAAGAGAGCAAATAAACGGAAATCTTCACAACCTAACTAAATTTCTCAGATACAATGGCAAAGAAGGACTGCATTTGAGAAGAGAACATTATTTTTTACAATAAAGTTCCTTGTCCAGTGAATAGGCTGACTTTCACAAAGGCTTATGAAGTAAAGCATTACACAGAATATAGAATTCAAATAAAAAGAAAAAAAATCTCAAATAAAAGTTATTCCTTTGGCACATGTTTTGTTTTATTTTATTACTTTATTATTTTTAAAATGTTTACCCGAGGATATTTTCCCACATATTTTTTAGAGAGAGTGGAAGAGAGAGAGAAAGTCAGAGAGAAATATTGATGTGAGACAAACACATTAATTGGTTGCCTTCTGGCCTAGGAGAAGCCTGCAACCTAGGTACGTGCCCTTGACCAGAACTGAACCCAGGACCCTTCGGTCCACAGGCCGATGCTCTGTCTACTGCACCAAACAGGCTAGGGCTCTTTGGAACACATTTTAAAACAAAATATTTACAATGCTCTAAGAATAAGATTTCATATCCTTGTCAAATGATCAAAACATAAGAAAAGCCATCCTTCTGTAAAAACAGTGTTTTTTGCTACAGAGAGGAATGTGCTTTAATGTATTAAAAGTTCATATTGCTCATAAAGTTCCTTCTTCCTCATTTAGGCAGGAAAATGAATTGAGTTCTCTTCTCCAGGTGACTTTGCCTCTTTGACCTGCCACGGCCCAGTGCTCGCTTTATCTGGTGATTCATTTTCAATAACTCCAACAGTATTTGTTCTGACATTTTAATTAAAATATGACCACTACCTCATCCTGATGATAAAAAGGCCTATATGTTAGTGAAAACTGGCCTCTCAGTGCCTCAGTGCACCTGAGGACCCCTTAGAGCTCATAGTTCTTACTAAAGAATTTTACTCAGGTCCTAAACAATACATCATTTCAAAATGGGATCACTTTCAACATTAAGATTAATGTTTAAAAATCTAAAATGGCTAGAGAAAGCTAAGTAATGAACATGTAATTTCCCTCACTTGATTTTTTTTTAAGAAAGAACAATTACATGCATTTAAAAAGTGAAGAACAATGACACAAGATTTAAATTTAGTATATTATTTGAGACTATCACACAATAAAATTAACAAAAATTATTAAAAATTTTCAGAAATAAAGAAGGAGTTCAGAGCTTTTATAAATGAAGAAATTAAAGCCAAAGATAAAACTATGATTCCAAATCAGGTTTAGGAATATTATCATGTACCATAACTTTGCAATAAAATGTTTAACAATATTCTAAACATTTATATGAGGTTTTCCAATGAAGAAAATGCAAATATGAAAAAATTAAATTATAAACTAAAGTGAAATAAATTTTTAGATTGTAGGGATTTAATCGGGTAGCTCAAAAATAAGTTAATTAATTTACATTATATTGTTATTAGCTCCAGAGAACAGAGCAGTTTGTGTTTTTATGTAAATACTAGAGGACTGGTGCATGAAAATTCATACACTAGAGTGGGGGGGAAGTTCCCTCAGACTGGCCTGCACCCTCTCATAGTCCAGGAGCCCACAGGGGCGGGAGGCAACTCAGCAATCAGGGGAAGGCGATGCTCCATCATACCACTGCTGCTGCCACTGCCAGCAGCACAAGCCTTGGCTGGATCTGGTTATCTGAGCCTCAGGAAGCCCTTGGGGGCTGGGGAGCTGAGAGGTCTGGGGGACTCCAGAGGCAGGCATGCAGAGTGGCTGGGCATGCCTGGGGGAGGGCCTGGCCTTGCCACATGCCTATCACCCCAGCAGGGCTGAGGTGACTGGGCACCGCCATCTTGTGTGTGTGTGCGTGGTCATCTTTGAGTGAGGGATATCCAATTAGCATATTCCCTCTTTATTGGCTGTGGGTGCCACTATCTTTGAGGGTGGGGCAATCAATCAGCATATTCCTTCCTTATTGGCTGTGGGTGCCATCTTAGCTATGGCGTGAGGGTCAATTAGCATATTCCCTTTTATTACATAGGATAAATGACTATCTATACACTATTACACACTATATCCATATTAAGAAAACAAGTAAGATACACAACAGATAAACTAAAAGGAAATACTATATAGGAGTAAATAAATGGTTTTCTGAACAAATGTAACATCCAATGAAAATGAAGATATATGAGTCTATGAGGAAAATGGCCAAGATTCAAAAGAACATGCAAATCTTATAATAAAAATCACTGTTATTTCATATAAATGAAGATACACCAGGCTTTTTAAAATCACTTATACACAAAATACACTCTAATTTGCTCCATTCACAACTGTAAGAGCTATTCAATGATATAAGAAGATTAAAAATCTGTGGTTGATATGTCTCTTGGCCTTCTATATGTCCTTTTTGAAAAATGCCTATTTAAGTACTTTGCCCATTTTTTGATTAGCTTGTTTATCTTCCTTTTGTTAAGTTGTAGGAGTTCCCTGTAAATTTTTGACATTAAACCCTTATCGGAGATAACATTGGCAAATATATTCTCTTTCTAGTTGTATTGCTGGTTTCTTTTGTTGTGTAGAATCTTTTTATTTTGATTTAGTTCCATTTGGTTATTTTCTCCTTAGTTTCTATTGCCCTAGAAGCTGTACCTGTAAAGATATTGCTACAACATATGTCTGATATTTTGCTGCTTATGGATAATTCAAAATTTGTTATGGTTTCTTGTCTTATGTTTAAGTCCTTTATCCATTTTGAGTTTATTTTTGTGTATGGTGTAAGTTAGTGGTCTACTTTTATTTTTTTGCATGTATCTGACCAATTTTCCCAGTAGCATTTATTAAAAAGACTGTGTTGACTCCATTGTACACTCTTGCCTCCTTTGTCAAATATTAATTGAGCATAATGGCTTTCTCAGAATCACTAATCATCCCAGAGATGCAAATCAAAATAACAATGAGGTACCATCTCACACCTGTCAGAATGGCTATCATCAACAAATCAATAAATGACAAGTGCTGGTGAGGATACAGAGAAAAAGGAACTCTCCTTCACTGCTGGTGGGAATGCAGACTGGTGCAGCCACTGTAGAAGACAGTATGGAGTTTCCTCAAAAAGTTAAAAATGGAATTGCCATTTGACCTAATAATCTCACTTCTAGGAATATATCCCAAGAAACCAGAAATACCAATCAAAAAGGATATGTGCACCCCTATGTTCATAGCAGCACAATTTACAATAGCCAAGATTTGTAAACAGCCTAAGTGTCCATCAGCAGATGAGTGGATTAAAAAACTGTGGTACATCTACACAATGGAATACTACGCTGCTGTAAAAAAGATGGATCATTTACCATTTGCAACAGCATGGATGGACCTAGAGAGCATTATGCTAAGCGAAATAAGCCAGTCAGAAAAATATATCATATGCTCTCACTCATTTTTGGAATATAATGAACAACATAAACTGATGAACAAAAATGGATCCAGAGACAGAGAAACACTGAACAGATGATCAAACCTCAGAGGGAACCTGGGAAAGTTGGTGGAGTGGGTGTGTGTGTAAAAGATAAACCAAAGGGCTTGAATGCACGCATATTAGCATAAACAATGGGCACAGGCACTGGGGCAGTGGGGGTTTGTCCTGGGGGGCAGGAGTGGCTGGGGAGGGGCCGATGGGGGAAAAAAGGAGACATATCTAAATAATACTTTAAAATCCGTGGTTGAAAAGTATTTTTTCCACCATGAATAAGTAGCATGGTATCATATCTATTTTGAGAATTAAATATTTATCAGATCACTAACATGCTATGCATTTGAAAGACAATAATTAGGAAGTATTACTACATTTGTCAATCGATATTTTCATTTCTCAGTTGAACAATTTTTTTTCATAGATGAAGACACCTCTTTTTGATAAAGGAATATAAACTCTTTGTACACTTGTAAAATGACGAAAATTAAAAAAGAAAAAAATTGTCCCCAACCCCACTAAAATTGAGATTTCTGGCAGTCTTTTTTCTATGCATGTGATTATGTATACATATAAATGTACATTTTTCACTTAATTATATGTATATTATGTGAGTGATGTATCAATATATTTTTTCTTTTCCATTATGGAGTGAATATTTTCCCATTTTTAGGAATAGAATGTGCTCAATCATCCTAATAAAACATGCAAGCATTGTTGCTGATTACTTCACATTTCAGTTCAGATTGCAGAACACTTCATGAGAAATTTAAGAGGAGTAAAGTGGTTATATTACCTTTTGATCACAAATACTGTTTACTTGAGGCCCAAAGCATGAAATTCGTGCACGAGTAGCCCTTCCTTCCCCTGGCTGCCAGCACTGGCTTCCTTCTGGCACCCAGGACCCGGGTTTCCCTCTGGCCACTGGCAGGCACCTGAGACCCAGGCTTCCCTTGCAGCCCCAGCTTCTTTTGGACATCCAGTCTAATTAATATACTATGCTTTTATTATTATAGATGATTATCACTTTTACCCATCTCCATTTCAGTATATGGAATAAACAATTTCTGCACAACTGGTTCTAAATCTTCTCTTGCTGTTTTTGAAGATGTACAAGTCAGATGAACCAAATCTGTTTAAAAAGAAATATTTTTAGTTCCTGCTTACCATGAATTTCACTGAGTACTCATATTCAAGGCACTAAGCTGTTTCCATGGAAAATAGAGAGTTGTGCAAGCCATGGCTCCGGATTTCAGGAAATTTATAATCTAGCAATAGGGGAAATTGTAAAAACTATAAAAATATGTTGTTTGTTAACCAAATAGTTAACATATGTGTTAACTAATAACTTTGCTAGAGCACACTGAGGCCTAAGAAGTAGTAGATGCTGGTTTGTTTTGTAAAACCAGCAGACTAAAAAAGCGTAGGAAAGCATTTATTCAGAGAAAGAGCTTATGTTATCCTTATGACATTCCCAACGTGGGTTGATAAAATATTGCCAAACAAAATAATTGTGTAAAAAAGACTGGAAATGCAATATTTATTTACTTAGAGAACATTTCATCAGACAGAAGAACACATTTATACGAACTTTACTGATAAGTTAACAACAAATCATCTAGTCATTATAAAGTTCTCTAAGAAACTTTTTGGTGAACACTGTTGGCTTAGTTTGAATCATATGGAAGTTCATAAAATAGTACAAGTTAAAAGAATCTATAATATTTTCAAATATTCCAAATCACTTTTTTTTGCATTTATAAAATCACTAGAGGCCCAGTGCAAGAAATTCATGCATGGATAGGGTCTCACCCTGGTCGGCGATCTGGACCTATTAGGGCCTTCTGGCTGCTGGCCAGGGCTTTCCTTCATTCCTTGCTGCCCCCTGATAGTCAGCGCACATCATAGTGAGCAATTGAACTTCCAGTCTCCTGGTCAAACTCCCGAGTGGACTCTTTTCATATTAGCCATATATATATATATATATATATATATATATATATATATATATATATATATATATATATATATAGTGCACAAAATTTGGGGTGGTGGTACCTCAGCACAGCATGCACCCTCTCCAATCCAGGACCTCTCGGGGGATGTCCAACTGCTAGTTTAAGCCCAATCCCTGTGAGCATCCCTCTTGCAACCCAGGACTACTGGGATGGGGCCTCAACTGGCAGTTGGATATCCCTCTTGCAATCCAGGACTGCTGGCTCCTAACCACTTGCCTGCCAGCCTGCCTGATCGCCCCCTAACTGCACCCCTGCCCATCTGGTTGCCCCCCTAACTGTCCAGAAGGAAGTCGGATGTCTGGAAGATGTCTAGTAGATCTGGTCTAATTAGCATATCACCCTTTTATTAGTATAGATAAGATAGACAGGGCTTGGACCTCAGAGAATGTTAGGGTTAGAGAATATCATGTACCCAAAATAGCCCTTCACAGATATGAAATACTGTAGCCTAATGCATTTAGAATTTAAAGGCATACATACAGAGGTAAAGGAAGGATGAAAGAAAGGGCTAAGGGGATCCCTAAATGGGAGATATTCTTATGGTCCTAGAAAGGGTTTGGGAGGGATAAGATAATAGCAGAGAAAATATATTAGAGAACAGTACATACTGAGAAATTCCTTCCCCCAAAACAGTAGTAGAAAAATACACCCACTCCTTTTCTAAAAGTTTATTTCAGACTGTTAGACTTTAAAAAGGAAAAACAGAAGAGAGTTGAAAGTTTATCCATGAGCGCCAATATCAGAATAGGAATCTTTTTATTAAAATTTATTCCATATTCAACTATTCTCTCTATATATATCTAAACATAAGTTGAGAGACTCTTAACCATGTGTGCTAAAATCAAATTCTGTAGTATTTATTTTTTCCAGATCTACCAAAATAATTGATATTTTGCGAGGGTCCCTGCCTTATGTATAACCTAATAAAAGATCTACCTTATTTAAGCAATGTTTTTATATGAATTTAACAAAGATTCCCATTGGTTCTGGGATATTATAGAATGTATGGAACTAATTATTTCAAAAGGCATAAATAATAACATTCACAACAAAATTTTTCCTAATTAAGTTATATTTTTCAAATGCTATATAACTTTGGTGGAAGGGAGTTTAACTCTTCAGATAATTGCTGAATTAAACAGAGTATAGAACTACAATGGCAGAAATACCTGGTATAACACTCAAGAGAAACTGTCCTGTCTCCTTATCCCACAGTCTCATAATATATGAATGTTCATGTCAAAGTTCTCATTTTTCCAGTTCTTTCCTATTCAATTAATGTATACTAGGAAAAAAGGAGATAAACATAAATATAAATTTATAAACAATATATTTTTAAAAACATCTTAATGATAAATTACTGGCTCTGTAAAACAGGATACATAAAAGACATACACTGGTGCAATTATATCCTTTATGTTTCCTAACAATATAACAAAGTTCAGGGAGTACTAGCAAAAATTTCTAGTAGTAAAATCAGATAACCATCTTGTACTTAAATTACTTTTATAATAATTCTTAGAAAGAAAAAAAAAGAAATTCATAACCTGAATTCTAATATCTATACCTTGATTTCACATTGATGCTACATTAATTTATCTACAAATCCTATCTAATAAAAGGGTAATATGCAAATTTACTGTTACTCTGTCATGAAGATGGTAGCGCCCATAGCCACAAGATGGCGGTGCCCAGTCCTCTCAGCCCCGTTGGAGTCCCCCAGTCTTGGGGGGAGTGGAGCGGGAGAGAAAGCCACTGAGAGTGGGCAGCATGAGCAGCCTGCCATGGCGATGAGGCAAGCATTCTGCGCCTGCCTCTGAGGGAGGGCCTCCCTGCCAGGTTGGGTGTAGATGGGAGGAGGAGCACTGCAGGGAACCTGGCAGGTCAATGACAGGATGAATCATGTAGCCCCAAGTGCAGCCACCAGTACTGCAAGATGATTGCCTTGCCAGTGTGTTTGGAGAGTGGGGTCTATGGCACAGCCCTCCTCTGAGTCTCATGCTGTTAAATAGGCTGGAGGTCCAGGTGATGCAGTTCAGAAACCACGCACACAGGGGAAAGCCTGTACTACCCGCTGCCTCACATTCACCTTTTGGGGAGGACCCTATCTTTCACAGCTGCCCGGCTTCTCTTCCCACCTGGGAGGGTCACATGCTCACCTGCCAGGAGTGGGAGCTCTTGGGAGCATCCGTATAGAGGGCCTCTTCCTCCTGCTTTCCCTTGCTGCTGTGTGCCCAAAGAAAGAGGCCAACCTCTTGGGTGGCTCTGCCTGCCCACACTGAGTGATTAAGAAGACATCAGTCCAGGGTCTTTCACAGCCCCTGGCTATGGGCCCTGTGAATGACCAATGGTCCTGATTGGTTGTGGGAGTAGCAGAGGTATGGTCAATTAGCATTTTTCTCTTTTATTAGTGTAGATGTTCCTTTAAACTCATTTAGCAACTGCTTAAAGTCTTAATGGACTAAACGATAACAAAATGTGTTCTGTCACAATTTCTCTGTCAGCAATATACTTAGATTTGTGTTGGCATTAAATAAACCTTGGTGCAAAATAAGATTTAATTCATAGAACGTAAGGGTAATACTTGAAAAAACTTGGGTGAAGTGCCAGTCACAAATAGCACCACTGAAACAAAGAGCATCTGATATTCAGGAGTTATCATCAACACCAAACTAGAAATAAGAACACACTTTCAGTTCTCTAAAACTGGGTTTAGAACAATGATCTATCATATAATAAGATACTGCTCTCTTACAAGTTTTTTTTTTTTTTTAATTAAACACATGAAAAGTAGGATTTCTACTCAGAATTTGTATAACAATGAGCACATTTAAAAGTGACAAGTCTAGCCAAAACCGGTTTGGCTCAATGGATAGAGCCTGGGCCTGCGGACTGAAAGGTCCCAGGTTTGATCCAGGTCAAGAGCATGTACCGTGGTTGCAGGCACATCCCCGGTAGTGGGTGTGCAAGAGGCAGCTGATTGATGATTCTCTCTCATCGATGTTTCTCTCTATACCTCTCTCTTCCTCTCTGTAAAAAATCAATAAAAAATATATAAAAAATATTTAAAAGTGACAAGTCTAATGTATAGTAGCAGGGTAATATACTAGAGAATGGTTATGCAGATCAGGTGTAATATTGCTCTTTGTATCTACTTGGCTAAGTCAGTTTACTTCTCTGGCCTAAGCATCCTCATTATTAAGTGAAAGGGGTGTAAGTAGTTTATCTATAAGATCTCTTTCTAGTTTTAAAGTTTTATGACTGTAACTCCCTACTTATTGGTCATGCTTCTTTCAATGATGAAAGATTTTAAACCAAAAGCTGATGGCATTAAAAGTATGAGTATGAAATCTAAGTAAATGCTTGCTGAAAGAAGTAAGAAATCTATTTCTCAAGCTTCTGAGATTATAACATACAGTAGTCATTTACTCTGTGCAAGTAGGCATAAATTGTTCCAAATGCTAGTCAGCAAATGCATTTCCTAGAGCAACTTAACTAGGAATACATAATTTGTATAAATAGGGATCGATGTGGCTCATAGCTTGTCTTTCATATAGGCAGAAAGGCCAAATGTAACTCATGTAATATAGTTCTAGTAAGAATATATGACTATGTTAATAAAATAGAAAAGTTCAGAAACACATTTTCTTTATGACACCAAGTGAAGAACTGAGTTTGATGACATATGGGTATACAATTTGGTTTTTAAATCCACCCATGAAAAATTCCAGAGTAACTCTAGAGTCAGCTTGTACTTTCTCAATAGAATTTAATGAATAACACCTTTGAATGTCAACTTGAAATCAGGAAGAAAAAATAGCTTTACTTATAAAATCAAATCTGTGCATTGTGTCACATTTTCAAAAACAAAACAGACATTAATGATGTTTCAAATCATTATGTAAATTCATTTTTTTGAAAGGCATAAAACATTTTCTTTATGGGTCATAAAAGCAGAAAAGATTATATAAATCAGTACATATCTTGATTATTCATTATTTTATACATTTGATTATATATATTCACAAATCTATAATCATATCACAAACAAATAACATCCTGTAACACCAAATCCCAGAATAAACCAGCTGTTACTGATAGATTATTATTTTTA